CAATCCCGCAGCCCGCAGTCCCGCAATCCCTCAATCCCTCAATCCCGCAGCCCGCGATCCCGCAATCCCTCAATCCCGCGATCCCGCAATCCCTCAATCCCGCAGCCCGCAGTCCCGCAATCCCTCAACCCCTCAACCCCTCAATCCCTCAATCCCGCAGCCCCGCAGCGATGGCAGGAGCCGCTGGGTGTCACTGCTCCATCGCGGTGCTGCGATCCCTCAATCCCGCAGCCCGCAGTCCCGCAATCCCTCAACCCCTCAATCCCTCAATCCCTCAATCCCGCAGCCCCGCAGCGATGGCAGGAGCCGCTGGGTGTCACTGCTCCATCGCGGTGCTGCGGGAGCGCAGGGAGCTGGAATGCAGCCCTGCCCAGCGCCGGGGCCAGGTGGGCACGGCACAGCTCCTTCTCGTGCAAGCTTTTACACTGTTCCTTTCCATTCCTCATTGTGAATATGTACTTTGCCAGTGGCCAAATATTTCAGCCTGAAATGCTTCTATAGGCAAAATTGGCTCTGGCATAGTTTGGCTTGTTTTGTAAGGCTTCTTTGGTGGCTTCTGAACTACTCCCTTCTTAGTAGGAAGCAGTACAAATTTAAAAAAAAAAAAAAAAAAAAACAAAAAACAACCCAGAAAACAAAACCAAAAACCTAAACATCTTACAGTGCAATTTATTGATGGTTGGGATAGAATAGGGAAGGTAATAGGAATGTGTGGATTGGAATTGTTACATCTGTTTTCATGACATTTCCAGTCCTGGCTTGCAATGGAAAAAGGGTAAATTAATCTCTGGATTTATAACTTCAGCTGAAGCCAGAGGGGGTTTACCCCAGTGCTGAATTGAACTCAACTGGCTCCACAGTTTTGGATACCTGTCCCAGTAGAGTTGAAGGTCTGAAATATATTCCAGCCAAGAATATGGGCTGGAAACAGCCACTTGGATCAGACATCTGTGCCCTACAAACATGTTCACCCTTTAATACATATTTAATCCTCAAATTGTGCCTCCACACAAATGCAGAGCAGCAAAAAATTTCCTAACAGCCTTTATGAAATTTATGATCTACCTTACAAAATACTAAAAGTTGCAAAATCTGCTAAGTATTGCAGGGGAAAAAAACCACAGAAGAGATTAAAAGTATTACTGGTGACTTAGATCCTTATAATAATGGAGGATTAGGTAAATGAAAATGATCTGTGGTCTCAGGACACAACCCTTCTTGCACTTTGCACAGAGGAGGGCAGTCCCTTCCCAAAATAATTCCAACATGTGCAACTTAAGGCACACACTGTTTTTCCATCCCAGTATAGTCTGATTCAGAGGTTTTGGTTTTCAAATTGTCCACTAGAGTCTGGCCCTTGAAATGCCAGTGAGAATCCAGGGGAAAGGGTAGGATTGTGTTATTTCTATTTCATGGAAAAGGCAGGTGCTTGTCCCAGCACAATCCTACATTTCATAGCCTCTCTTCATCCTCCACAGCTCAAAGCAATTTATGGAGAAAGCTGTGAATACACAAATGCACAAAATCACTGTGGAGTGGCAGGGTGTGTGACTGCCCAGGGCTCGCTGCTCGCCAGCTCTCAGGCTTTGGCTTTTGGGAAACAAGTTCTGCATGGGAAGGGATGGGATGAAATGGAACTTAAACACTGTAAGCAGGACTAGGACACCAAAAACTCTGCTACTGCCTCTGTTAAAGGAAAATAACGTGTGTGTGTGTTTGTGTGTGTGCCTGGGCAGCTCCTGCTGTTTGGATCTTTCAGAGCCCCCATGGGTCTGCAGGGTGGTTCATTCCCTGCTGTGGCAGGAGCAGGTAGAGGCAGAAATCTTTAATCAGAGCTGTTAATGACTGTCTCACCGTTGGGTGGCACTCCAGTCCTTACTGCTCGTGGTGATCACAGCCTGGATTTTACTCGTACATAGGATTTTTAAGTCAAGTAGTAACCATTGGGAAGACTTTTTTATGGCTAATGTGATAATGGAGTACAATTACACTTGCAGAGCTGGCTTTGGTTTCACAGCATAATGCTAGGGGGTCTGTGTTGAAATCTTACTAGATTGTTTAGTTTTCTAAAAAAAGATTTCCAAATGCAGTTGGTTCTGTCACGAGGGACTCAGGTGTGATGGACTCTGGTGTCAGGAGAGATGTGTGTGTGTGTTTGATTGTAAGGTAATAGGCTTTCAGCCACTGTTTTGTGTTTTATGCAGTGTTTTAGATGAATGAGAGAATGTTTTCAGCAGCCCTTTCCTTAATGATCCTTTTCCTTGCAGCAGACGCAGCATCCCTGAGTCTGGAATCACTTTCACCTCCGCTTCCAGGGCTGCAGAACGGTGAGTGCTCCCCTCTGCACATCTCTGGTCTGGCAAGCAGAAATATTTTTCCCCTCACACTGGAGATACAAACGTTCAATATCTGCATTTCATTCAAAGCTGTGGCTGCTGGTTTTACAAATGCAGGGGAGCATTAGCTCAAATGTGGTTTCTGTCACAGCACAGGTTTTTACTGAGACAGGGGTGTCCTTGGTGGCACTGTGAGCACAGCATGGCAGGCAGGGCAAGCAGCTGCTGGGGATTTACCTGGGATTCCTGCAGGGTTTGCAGTGTGCCCCGAGTTCCTGGCTGCCAGCAGCCTTGGCTTGGAGCAAAGTGAGCTCTATTTGTGATTTGCTGGCTGCATTGAGGCTGGCTATCCAAGGCAAAGTGTGTGGCAGCAATGCTGACCGAGCCTCACCTCCCCTGCCACCTGCTGCTGCTTTCTGTGGTACCCCAGCCCTGCAGCTCTGCCAGCCCCGGGGTTTATGCAGCTGCACTGGGGAATGGAGGTGGGAACAATGCTACTTAAAAAATACCAAAATCCCCCCAAAACACCGCCACCACCAAAAACCACACCCCACAAAATAAAAAAAAAAAAGAGTTTTCTTCTGGATTAGTTTTAAGCAAGATGAGGTCTCTAGTACAGTAAACCACATGGCACATAAATAATATTTGTAGTGTTCTAAAATGTTGTTATTTGTAGTTATTATTATTATTATTATTATTATTATTATTATTATTATTATTATTATTACAACTACTATTATTATTACTATTATTATTATGTTTGTGACAAAATCCATGCCAGCCATAAGTAAGACTGTAGTTACAACAAATATCTTGTGTGGAAAGAACAGCCTGAATTCCTTTTTGTCTAGGAGGAGAACAAAAGCCTTCTCATTTCAGATAAGTCTTTAAGTGGAAAAATAGTGATAGGGAAATAAAATCCTATCCATTTTAACCAATATTTCCTCGAAGCAAGTGTGACTATTTTTATATTGTCCTCTAAAGAGCAGTTATTTCTGGAGAGACATCTTAGTGCTTTTACAGTGAGAGTTTTGTCACTCCTTATTTATTTCCCATAATGGAAGAGGAGCTCAGATTAACTCCCTTTTGTTGAGTCGAGGGGCTCAATAAAACTGCTTGGGAAACTGCCACCACATTTGGGACAGCAGCAGGGAGATTTACACGTTGTATTTCCCCTGCACTGTACATAAACAAGTATCTCTCAGCTGAAACATTTTGTACACGTGAGATACAGTAAAAAAGTCTGGCCCAGTTTGAAAAGTAAATGGGACAGAAAAATCCTTCTGCAGGGCAAAGAAACTTCAGTGCATGGCTGGCCCTGGTGGCCACCTGCCCAAAGAGGGACCTATGAAACTTTCTGCTGATGGGTTATTATCTGAATCTTATCTGCTCAAACACTTCAGAGTTCAGCAAAAGCAGCCAAAGTCAATTTCTGCTCAGAGTGTTTAAAACAAAAAATAAACAGAAGGGAGAAGCTGTGCGTGTGCAGGAGGAGGCGGTGGGCTGGAAAAGGGGCAGGGTGGTGGGGCTGGGGAGGGGATGGTTTAACCCGCGTTGGCTCTTCTGAAATCCTCTTGGGGCTATCCGTTGTTTTCCCAAAGGAAAACGAAATTGCACAATCCATAATTGTGGTGGTGGAGAGCTGCTGGTGCTCTCTCTGACCTGCCAGGTAGGTGAAGCAATTGTCGGTATAAATTAGAGAACAACTGTGTCATAATTCAGTGACAGTTATCTGGTTCTGCGCAGCCTGGAAATGCCTTCTGAAACGTGTGAAACAGAAACAGAGCTTTCAGGTCTTTGTTATACTAAAAACCCCCAAACCAAACCCCTTCTCAGTGTGCATTGATGGTTGAGATGAGTTATCTGCTCTGTGTCTCTACCCTCCCACCTGGATCAGGTGTTCTCAGCCCAGACATCCAGCTACCTTAACTCTGAATGGAAATGGAGATGGTTGTATTTTACCTGTAATTTCTCTTTCAGCCTATTTACACCTTGTCCATTGAATGTAAGGGCTTGTGTTCTTTGCTAACCTGTCACCAGTGGCTTTCAGAGCTGCTCTGTTCCAAAGGAAGCTCCAAGAATGGTTGTGCCAGTTTAGTGTCCTTAAAGATCAGTTCCTTTCTCTGTCTGTGGCATCAGGCACATCACATATGAATCCTCTCTGAGTGCTCCTGATCAAGAATTGAATCACAAGATTTTCTTCATAAAGAAAACCCTTCTAACAGGAATTAATCTCTCTTTTGTAGCTGATAAAATAGGAGAAAATTTAACCAAGCCGATTTATTCTGGTTCCTATGAAAAATGTTGTCAGTGAAAACATGGAACACTTACAAAATATCAACATTTCACTCCTATCTGCATGTAGATCAATATGAATGGGTCACAGTGACCTCTCAGGGAGCAGGTGTGCGTGGCAACCAAAACTAATATGTATTTTAAGGACAAAGGTCCTTAAAAAACCAGAAACACCTTTATCCACAGAGGATCTGTTCCCAACAGGATAATTTCTATACTATTTTACAGTTGGTTTCAGGGAAATTTTAGCTTTTCAGTTGTTGTAGTTGTTTGGGTTTTTTTCCCACAAAGACTTTGAAACAAGGGACTTCATTTCTGCTGCAGCAAAGCATTTTCAATGTTTTCAATTAGAACATCTTGTTTTATGAAGTGAAAAATCTCTGCTGCCAGAGCATAGTTTGAAGTGCAGGAAAAGGCGGTGTCTTCACAGGAAATTGCCATTTTTCAGTGTAGCAGCATCTCTGAAATTCATTCCACCATGTAACACTTCAGTGAATCACAATAGTCTGGAGTTCAAGGTTTACTTTCCTTGTCTGAAATAGAAGTATGTAGCTGAGCTTGGGAGAGCAGGGAGTGAGCATTGCTTGGCAATGTTTTAGCAAAGCATCCTTTGTCTAAAAGTGCTGTTTCTGGGAGAGAAAACACTTGTGGCTGTGTGCTTTTTGCAAAAGACATCTGAGCCTCAGATGGAATTTGTAGCCAAAGGAAGAGAACGCGAGAGAGGTGCAGTGGTGAGTGCTGGCGGCCCCAGCTTTGCCTTGTGCCTCCCATGTCTCAGAGAATTGGCTCTCTGAGATTTGTCTGCCTTTACAAGGGTTATGTGCTCGTGTTCTCCTCTTGGAAAAGATTTGGAAGATCTTTAGTTGTCCCAGTTTGGGAAGAGAACATGGGAGAGGTGCAGTGGTGAGTGCTGGCAGCCCCAGCTTTGCCCTGTGCCTCCCAGAAGTGTCTCAGAGAATTGGCTTTCTGAGATTTGTCTGCCTTTACAAGGGTTACGTGCTCGTGTTCTCCTCTTGGAAAAGATTTGGAAGATCTTGAGTTGTCCCAGTTTGGGACACAGCCAGATTTTGGTGCTTGAGGATATTTCTCAGGTGTTTATTCCTGGCCAGCCTCAGGGGCTCAGGCAGTGGTTGCATCCAGTGGCTCCCAGCCTTTTCCAGTCTCACTGTGCATTTTGGTTTCACTCCTCCTCTTTGGGGAGGGTTTGTGCCCTGCTGTCCCACGGGATGCACGATCCACCTCGCAGCCTGCAGCCCTGCCTGGAATAGGTGGGGCTCTGCACGCCCAAAACCAAAACTGTGTGCGGGGACAATAAGACAGCTGGGGCTTGTTTGTGTTTAGGTTTGCACATTCTGCACACAAGCCATTGATCCCAAGGAAATAATGAAGAGGAGGAAATCCATTAAATAAGTTATTCAAAAAATATCACAGAACTTGTCAAATTAATGATTTCACAAGAGGCAGCCAACTAATTGTTTTTGCAATACAGCAGTTTTTTAGGGATTAGAGAAAATCCAAACTGTTGGCAGGCAAAATCCAGCTGAGATGAGATCAAAATTTTGCATTAGAGCTTAAAAGTATGGAAAATGTTGAATTGAATAATTGTCAGATTTTTTTAATGATTTTTTTCCCACTTTTGTGAAGCAGCTTTTATCAATGCAAAGCCAGGCATAGGAGAAGGATGAATGTATGGGCCTCAGGGCAGCTGATGTTGACCAAAGAGTGGTAAATGCTCAGTAATGAAGCTTTGGTCAAAGAGAAGTGGCTCAGTGTGATGTGAAGCTAGCAGAGCATCCATTACAAAATAAGAGATAAATCTGTGGCTACTTTGAAAATATTCTTTATTGCTCAAACTAAGAGCAGTTGTTCAACAAGAACAACTCACAAAAAGGATGGAAAAATAATGTTACAATTATGGTTTAAATGTTATGAGATTAGAAAAGGAAAATAACTTCTAATTTAGTCATTATGAAATAATGTCAAATGGATAGGTAATATTTTCTCCAAGTTGGGGTTTTATCTCAAATGAACATGAAGCCAGGATTATCTTTCAATGATAATGTGACTTGACAAAAATTCCCTTTCATTAATCCATGTGCAGATGTGGGTAAGTGTAGCTTGCAGTTCACTATGGACACTGCCCGTGGTATTTCAGAGTGCTCAGGTTTATCAGCTGTCATTATTAACTGTGCCTGCACTGCTGCTGCTGATTAGCAGGTGGTGGGATAGTGAGATAAGCCAGGCATGAGAGGTTCATAGACACGGGCGCCCCAGTTAAACCCTCCATGGAGCAGATATGTGGGCTTGGGCAGGGCATTTTTCTGTGAAGAGTGGGGATGCTATTGTCCAGATTTGTCTCATTTCAGCTTAAGTAGTTCCAGATTTCAGTGAAACGTAATGTTTGTGAACTCTTTTCTCTTCATATGTCCCTGGTGACTGTGTATATTCAGCTGAAACGGGGTTTGGACACTGCACTTACTGAGGCTGTGAGTCTGATGACCTGGGCCAGAAGGAATTGCTGAAATTGGCTTCTGGAATGGAATGAGATATTCATGAGTCTCGTTCAGGCTCACACGGAGGCGGGAAGCGCCCAGCTCATTTCCCAGGATGTCCTTCCTGCCTGCAGCGAGCAGGAAGGGCTCCTTGGAGAGGCGCTGGAGTTCAGAGAGCTGTCTGATGGCAATTGCTGAGCAGCC